GAGATTATGGCCACCATAATTTCACACATGGCCAGCAATGGTTTGCGCACAATTTGTGTAGCCTACAAAGACTACATTCGAAAGAATGTTCGTGACGCCGCAAATCATGAGGTACGGTATGCTTTCAAAATTAACATGTACAATTCTAGCTACTACAGTAACCAAAAAATTTATTCAGACATCATTCGAAAAGGATGAAGACATCGACTGGGACGACGAGGAAAAGATATCTAATAATTTTGTTGGCATCGCCATTTGTGGAATTCAAGTATGTCACCGAATTTTGATATAGTTTAGCTTCAAATCGATGTATCGATTTTTCAGGATCCTGTACGACCTGAGGTCCCTCAGGCTATCGAAAAATGCAAAAGAGCTGGTATAACGGTTCGTATGGTCACCGGTGACAACATCAACACGGCTAGGTGGGGTTTTACTGACAGGGTCCTGGACGGAAAACTGGGACATTTGAAAATTTTCATGTTTAGCTTTGGCCTTGCCTTTTCTCTATAGCTCTTGATCAAGTTTATTTCTTAATGTGGACTGATAACTGGAACACGGAAAAAGAATTGATAATGAATAAAAATGACCGCGAAAAATGAAAAGCGAATAAAAACATGAATAAAAAAATATAATTAGGTAAATCATGAGTTAAAGAATTTAGGTAGGAACAACGAGTCTACAATCAAAAAATTTCTTGAAAATATCACTTATTACAAAAAATAGGTCTGCTATAAGTACTTAGTTTCAGAGCAATCGCCATGACTTGCAGAATTCTTGAACCCGGAGATGATTTCTTAGCCCTTGAAGGCAAGGAATTCAACGAGAGGTTGGTTTTTTCGCTCAATTTTTCAGTGACAGGTACGAAAAAATCACTTTTCCAGAATTCGTGGTCCTGACGGGAAGGTATCGCAAGCGAAGTTGGACGAGGTCTGGCCTCGTCTTAGGGTACTGGCTAGAGCTCAACCAACGGACAAATACACTTTGGTCAAGGGTATCATAAACAGCAAGGCTACACCGCAGAGGTAGAAAATCAACGAAAAGAGCATAAACGCAAAAATTGGATTTTTTGCGCTCTGCTGAAGGGAGTTAGAGGAGTAAAGCCGAAGCGATTTTTTTCAGGGAAATTGTCGCAGTAACTGGTGATGGTACAAATGACGGTCCTGCAC